TTCTTTGTAACACCTATGTGGCTATGTTACATTGGTGCAACCTTGCCCTGACATAATTACGTTCATTGTATCACACACAATTTCAAGTTGAAAGTTCGTACAACTTCATAGATGTATGTACATACGTTACATACATACATATATCAAATAATGAATACAATGAACGTAATTATGTCAGGGCAAGGTTGCACCAATGTAACATAGCCACATAGGTGTTACAAAGAACCATGTACGTATAAAATCACAGTTAAATCTTCACCGATGCTACCGCGCGATGTACTGATGGTACTGATAACGGTATCGCATATGATAATACATCGGTAGCGACAGTTTTAGACGGTGTTACTGGCGACAGGTTTTGCTACCGATTTGTTTAGCACTCTGACATATCCTCTTGATAATCAGACCAAATAAAGAGGTTCCGCCATCTGCATTGTCGGAACCAGAGATTTGTTATTGGCAAACACAGTCCCCTAAACTGTTTAAAATCCCCCCACTCATAAATCACCCGTGCCACTCCCCAGATTCCCCTCAAAAAACAAAAAAAAAACAAAAAAAAAAAACCGGAACAATTAAATCTGCAGTCATAAAATCAGATAGACAAACCACCGAGAAACTCATTAAAAAAATTATCTCTGAACAATTCGACCAATGGCTACGCCCAAGGAAATAACAATACCCGCGCAACCTATGCAATATAACAGTATTGGAATGCCGTATCCGAGTCAGTTGGAAAAATTAAAAGAGAAACAACAACAGCAGGTTGGTATTTTGCACGTAATTACGTCAAACCATCACGAAATAGAGTTATCAAATTTCGCAAAAAGGGCACAGACACATGGCAGATAGACAAAAAAGAAAAAATTAGCAATAATTGCCCTCCTGAAAGAATGTTGTTTCTGATTTGGAATCGGATGTGAAATCTTAAAATTAATTCAAATGTTCAATTAGGTCGAGGTAGAAAAGAAACAGAAAAAAGCTGCGCCACACGGACACAAACGAAAGACGTTAGAGAATGAGAAAGACAAGCAGAAAGCAGAATTAGAGAAGTCAGGGGTGAGTAGGAAAAACCATCGCATATCCTTATTAATATATATTTATCCAGGAGATCGCTCATTATGTTTTTATAAAATAGAATGAATTGAAAAGTCTTTTGGCCCAATTCGGCTCCAAAGCAAAGGCTACCGACGAGTTAGAACAAGATGCATCCAAACTACGTGGCAACATCGCAAACCTCTTAACAAAAGTACAGAGCAGAGGAAGGGTACTTATTTCTTTAAAAATATATATATATATGTTTTTTTAATTTTACTGCGTCACTCAATTTACGGAATTCGCATTTTTCTCAATAGTCACCCCAAACAACCGTAACATCTCCAATAATTCAAATGCAATCTACTTCAGAAAACCGACTTGACTTTTTATTATCAATAGTATTTTTCCCAATCACCATAATAAGGAACATAATCAACGCATTTTTCAACAGTATAAACCGGACAGCATTTTTAACTGTAATATTATTAATAGAACTGGCTATAGTTTACCTTATTTGGGCGTAAGTGGTTTTTCGGAGTTCTGAATTGTTTTTTTTTTCATCCTTTCGCCTCAACATTATTGACGTTCTCCTTCACACCTCAAACTCCCTGTTTATTAGATCCAGGAGGGCACATCATACTTACTTGTACGTCGAGCCATACGAGGCAGTTATACATGGAACCTACGGAGCAGATCAATCAACATGGAGTATTTTACGGTCTACAATAATATCAATACAAGACTTTTTTGCGGAAGTGATGAATGGGGGTCGCGGGTTCGGCAGTCCCAGTTATGATGGATTTGTGCCTATATAACATTACATTTCATATATACATATTTTCCGAAAAAATTTTCTTTTAACAATTACAAAAGAATCTAAAACCCGCTCTGTTTTGTAAACAAGTGTTGGGTCGTATACGAAATCTAGCTTAGACTTTTTTTAAAAATCTAATTCACCTGTACATATTTTTTCTACATAATTTCTGCACATACGCAACCACACTCTATACATACTTTGCATACAGTCTCCCAACACACCTGTACACACCCCCCCCTTCGTATATATACATTTGCCCCTGTTTATTATTTGCATTTGGCCGTTTTTATAAAAAATAAATCGAAACCTTGAAAAAAAATGTTTCCCAATTACCGATAAAACATTGCTAAATGGAATTCAACCTTAACATTCTTGTTTGTTGCATCTTCTAAAGGGCTCGTTAATCAAAATTTAAAGAACCCACGTGTTATGTAAATACAAATCGTACATACGTGCTTGTTTATAACTAGCTTTTTTTTTCCAGTCCTCTTTTGTAAGTCGGTTTTAGCAATTGCTGTTCACAACGATTATTATAAACAACTTATCGTTATGGAATGTGTCAAATTTTGCATAATACCATAACGACAATCAGATAACCGATAAAGAATGCATACTCGATTTAGGCAATCCTAAATTAGGGGTTACTCCGTTTGCACATACTTATCCGTTATACCCACATACAGATAAAGGATTATTGTTTGCAAAAATCTTGGTATTATAAGCGTGGGAGAAAGAAAATGTGCGGGAAATTCGGGAATTAGCCGAGCATGGATACCTCGGAGTAGATTTGTCACGGTTCTACAGTTATCGATTTACATAACATACAGTAAACATGTAATACCGTCTTTACCACATGCAAGTTGAAGTACAGCATAATTTTTAATTATTGAAATGCCCGATCAAATAGATCCGATCAAGTTCTATTGTTCAAACAAAACTTTAAAAATCAAAAATGTTTAAAAAAATCTTTTTTTTATGCAAGTGCAGATATTTGACTATTCATTTATGAATAAAATTTGATCTTTAATTTATGAAGAAAGAAAACGGTAAGCCCATTGATTTTATTTTTTAATGCGCTATCTATCTTTAAAAAGAATATACGGTATATACTGTATAAGTGCATATTTTACAGTATATTGTATTTTTTTTCATTAAAAATAACAAGGTCTTTTTATATGATAATTCAAAATAGCATTTGACGATGCATTTAACCTGTGATTTTATCTCTTTAAGCACTTATCACGTATCTATTAGATTTACGGATATTAACATATCCCGTATACATGATCTTATTTATCTTTCTGTATTTTTTCTCATTTAAAAAATTGGTTTATTTTGTCATATTTATATACAATATATAAAATATGTATATGCTGTATATATGGTTTTTTTCAAAAAATTTATTCTCAAAAACTCATGTTATGTATTGTATACATTTAATTAAAAATAAATCAAATATTTAGGTATTATAATTTTTTTAAAAATACAATATCACAATATTATATTTTATTTATTTTGGTTCTCAGAAATTAACAAAAAATAATAAACTTTTTTTTTGTAAGCAACCAAAATCAACCAAAATAAATATATATAACTAAATAACAAAAAAATCTTTTCTACAATTAGAAGTTTTCTACTTATTTGGTAAGCAAGCATTAATTTAAAGATATTAAGTTAACAATATTAAAAAAAAGTTGGGAACTAAGATTACTTGATTTACTAACAGCATATCATTATTTAATTTTAAGGAATCACAGCAATCATAAGGAACACAAGATGTTGATAAATATTTTATGTCCGTAAGTTTTGTTTTGTTGAGTATGCACTATACCCGGTTGAATAGATTGACCATTAACTTTCAGGAATATGTCCATTAAAGGAATAATATTTGACCGCGGGACTGATTAACATAAGAAAATGAGTTAACCTTCCACTTGATAATAATGTTGATCGGTTCCGCGGTCAAAAACAAATCGTTGTCTAGAAGACTTTAAAAGGAAAAATTACTACGAAAGGCAACATTTCATTGGAGCTTATTGGAGCTTATTGGAACCTATTGAAACCGTTAGGTCCCGAGTCGCGATCCTAGATTTTTTCATCTATCTTCAATAAGCAACTCGTTGCTAAAGAATTATAATAAACAAATTTTCATTGGTGATCGTAAATGACCGAAACTAGCAATCTTCCTGTTTACACGTATACCTCGATGTTGAATCTACAAAAGATGCAGCGAGAATTAATTTACAATCTCAGAATGACATTTCGCGCTCTGATAAACTGTGATATGCAAAACAATGAGTTTGCAACAGCAATTGATCGTGAGTTTATGTCGGCCATTAAAATAGGTATGGTTACATAAATTCGACAACTTGAACCAATGAAAAGATGAGGTCATTTGCTTTCCCATTTATTCGCGTACTCGAACGTTCGATCTTGAAACATCGGATGTGGTTAAATGAAATTTGAAACCATTAATTTATGCGACTCTCTCAATATGCACGCATATATATAATACATTGACAGTGTCAACCTACACGATAAATTTGAAAATAGGGACGGGTTCCTTTTTTACACTCACCATGAAATACATCTCTACCTTTATCATCGGTATGGTCTTGAGCCTTGTGCTTAGCCTAGCTTGGATGCCGGTCATCAATGGTAAGCATTTCAAAACCGAAATATGCTTCGTGGATTGATCTTTCATTTTCAGACTAACCTTTCGGCTGCCATTGAAATAGCTGATTGTTCGATAGGTGAAGGAAAACGTGATTGTCACTCGGGTTTTTCTTGTGGCTCCGATAAAGATTGCATATTCAAGAATTGTGAAAATTTTGTTTGCGTACGCAATCTGGTTAACGGCTGCAAGGTTGGAGGTCAGAAGAATAATTGTAACCTTGGCGATCCCTGTGTGACCAGTGATGACTGCAAAACACCTGGTTGTGAAGCCGATGATAATGGAAATTCTTTTTGTGTCTAACATTCGTCACGCACTCATTTAATATAATACATTCATCATGTAAAATATTTGCACTACCGATAATTCATACAATGCTACGAGAAACTTGTTCCAAAAAAACATGAAATAGAATAACTTACAATGTAAATTCGAGTTTGATTTTATTAAATTATCACGTTGATTATTCTTTGCTAACAATGAACATAATGTTGGTTACGCGAAGAATTTTAAACATGACCACAAGTAATATTAAAGCAGTCGCCATAATGAATATGGGCAAAATTACAATTTAATTCCGAAATGAAATGTTCCAACGCTATGCAATTGCCCAAAGATTTTGATCAGTTGAGCATAAACTACAGAAAAACCAATCATACATGATAAAAGTTACTTTTATCAACGTCACGGTTATAAAACGAATGTTATTTATTTTTCATATGTATGTTTTTTATTATTAAATTTTTTTATAATATACATGAATATTTATTTTTCAATTTTATTACTGTATATACTGTATATTTATTTTGTTGACTTTTTGTTATTTCTACCATATAAGCATGAAATAACATTCGTGGATATTTTTTAAAAATAAAATTTGTCAAAATGGCTTATAGATATTCCAAACTAACATGCATCTTAACAATGTGATTCTGATTTAAATTAAGTTTAATTTGAACTGAATTTAAAAATATTTTTACTTCAAATTAATACATATGAATATACTTAAATTAATCTACAGGTTAATTAAAATAAATATTATTTCACATTTATTATATATAATATATATTTTATTAAACTCTTATATATTGCATAATCTAGTAAACATTAAAATTATAATTTTTAAAAAATATATAATAATAAAATAATTACATATATTATTGATATTACAATAATTGTTAAAACAAAAAAATAACATATTTGAATATACAAATTGAATTGCAATTCATTTAAATTAATAATTATTTCATAATAATTAAACAAGATAAATTCAAGATATCTATTTAATTTTTTTAATTAGGATTTTTTTATTAAGCTAAACTAATATACTGTATATATTAGATAGTTTATAAATTAGTAATAAAATTTTGATTTTCTTAAGTTTATAATTTGATATTTGAATAAAAAATATTATATATATAGTATTTGATTTTTAGATACTAAAATAAAGATGCTGTAATATAAGGTAATATATAAAAAGTATATAATTATTAATTTGTATAAGTTCTTTATTATATTTTAAATATTTTATATATATTAATAAAAAAAATAATTATAAAAAAATAATATAATATCACATATGGCAAGTAGTGGAATTGTTATATAAAGTGATTAACAAAATCTTTTTCATAACAGATACTATTAATTAAATTAATATATCAATAAAATATTTAGTTTAACTATATAACTTGATTTAAAAACCACACTATAGTACTGTTAATACATCATTCCTTACTAATATCAAATGAAACTCAAACAAATCATTAAATATTGCCAATCCAACCAGATCAAAAAAAAATTATATTGTTTTTACAAAAAACTTATACTCCAATATCATTTAAAATAAAATTATCATCAATTTTTCTATAATAATTACTAACACTTTTATCCAATATTATTATAATTTCTCTAAATGTATTAAAAATCTAATATTATTTTTATCAAGTACTATTCTTTTTAATACTGAGTAGGTATTACTAGTCGAAATCAATTTATTT